TGCTGGGACGGAAAGCCAGTTTCTGCCGGGGAAAAAACCACTTTTGATTGACCATTTTTGAGCATTTCTTGTTAAAAGTGGCTCGGGGCACCCCTCTGTCCCCGTGTGCTGCTGGCCGTTCTCTGATTGGCTGAGAACCTGCTGAAAGAGGGATGCAACCAAATGTGAAACTGACCAAGTGACTAGACAGGGGAACAGCCTGAAAATGACTGTACAAAACTATTATCGAATGCACAAAACAACCAAACTGACACAGGAAAGTGGATCCCTTTTCCTGCCTCCCCTTGCTCATTTCAGCTTTCTAGGGGTGCCTCTACACTGCCCCTGGAGCTTGAAATAAGTGATGCAAATTGCGTCGCTTATTTTGAGTTAATTTCGAAATGGCTTCTTTCAAAACTTGGTGCTGTCTACACGGCATTTATTTCAAAATAAATCGCTCTTCATCTACACAGCGCTCTAAACTCAAAATAAGATATGCACTGTGCGCCATGCAAATTGGGCATCTTATTTCGAATCTACTTCAAAATAGTTTATTTTGAGATTTGGTGTGTCTACACAGAGCCAAATGTCGAAATAATGCGCGATTTCGAGCCATCCTTTAACCCTCATGCAACGAGGTTTACTGGGATGGCGAAATAACGTGCCTGTTATCTAGACACATATTTTGATAACGGGTGGCTTGTGTATCTGCTCTGGTATCCCAAAATAGCTGTGCGTGTAGACATACCCTTGCTCCTCGTGGAAAGAGGTTTCCAGGGACATCAGAATAGCGAGCCTGTTCTATTTAGAAATAACAGCCGTGCTCAAAAGACATGGGGTAGCGATTTCGGGTTACCGCTGGTCTCCTGAAATAGCGCCACAGTGTAGACATAGCCTCAGGGTGCTACAGCTGCTGCCGGAGAAGAGTTTCTGGGAGAAGAGCCATTGGGGGTATCTCTGTCACCGGATGTCTGAGGTGGGGGGGAAAAGAAAAAATGGGCGATCCTGCTTCCGATTTGGAACCCTCCTGGATTTGGACTAAGGGTGTTAAAGACCAGTCAACTTTCTGATAAGCATTTGCTTATCGGATAGATTTTTGACGAGTCGACTAGTCGATAAGCACTTCCGCATTCCTCCTTTGAAATGTACAAGAATCCCCAGCAGGGACTCTTGTGTATTTCAAAGCCATGGAGCCTGGGGTCAGCGGGGGACTCAGTCCTCTGCTAACCCCAGGCTCCATGCTACCCTGCATGCTCCTAGGAGCCCGGGGTCAGCTGGTGAGACCCCCGCTGACCCCGGGCTCCCCACGGCTGCCCCTTTGAATTGTGTAGATGCTGGGGACTCTTGTACATTTCAAAGCAGGCACCCACGTGCAGCCCAGAGTTCGCGGGACTTCCGGCTGGCCCCGGGCTGCACCCGGAGTTCTGCATTCCTCCATTGAAATGTACAAGAGCCCCAGTGGGAGCTCTTGTACGTTTCAGAGGAGGAATGCGGAAGTGCCTGTCGACTAGTCAATGAACCACATTTCAACAGCCTTCATTTGGACCCACATTTTGGTTTAGCCTCCTGTAAAGTAAGACAGAGGAGGGGCCTTTATGGAAGGGTTTCAAACATCCCCTGATTGTTATTGGGACACTGGTTCTGACCCGTTTCCGAGAGATCGGGGACAGACTCAGGAGTGTTTCTCCAGACTCCCCGGCCATGGGTAGTTCCGATCCGACAAAGCCCCCTTGATCGGGTTCTGTGAGACCCAGCTCAGCAGTGGGCAGCGCCGAACCCCCCCTGTTTCCTCCCCATCTCTAATTTAAGCCCTGTCCCTTCCCTGCCTCTCAGGTGCAATGGGTGACAAGCGACACTAGCACTTCGGTGCAGACACCAGAGTCCGTCTGCTGAGGGGCACGGCTGAGCGGAGCCAGGGCTGGCCGGGATGCCTGCCTACGTGTCTGGCCGGGGCCTGGGAACCGGGAGCTAGACGCCCCAACAGGCAAAGAGCAGCCGAATCCAGGCAGAGCCCCCGTGACCACACAAGTGCATTATTAGCCATGGGCCCAATCCTGCACTCCGGACCCCCATGGACATCAGTGGGAGCTGGGCTGGGCTGTTGAGCCCCTGCCTAGCACTGCCTGGAGCATCGATGGTACCTCTCCGAATTGGGCCCACAAGGCTTCAGGATTTCCTCCCTCCCTCTCGGCTCCCGTGCAGGCACAGATCCTGACCCTGCAAGCGGCTGAAGTCCCTTAACGCGTTGTGGGGAGTGGTGGTGGCTGATCAGCAGAGCACGACCTCCCAGCGTGGTCCCCGGGGCTCGTGGGATCCCGGGATGCACAGACAGGAGCGGGAGCAGAAAGCTGATTTTCCCTCACTATCTGGCCCCAGTTCAAGGAGGATGTGGACAAATGGGAGGGGGTCAGAAAAGAGTCACGTCCCTGATGAAAAGATCAGAAAACTCCAGGAATTCTGTCGGCTTTGCTTAACCACGAGCGGGTTCAAGGACTCAGTCTCCAAGCAGCTGGGTGGGGGACACACTGGTTCAAAGGGGCGCTCCAGTCTAGGCGCGAAATGTTAAGCATTGGAACCACGCACCAGGAGCACCGTGGATTCTCCAGCCCTGGAAGCTGGAGGGCAGGTCTCCGGCCTGGGTGACGTAGGTCAGACTAGATGGTCCCCATGGGCCCGTGTCCCCTGTGAGCCTGTGAGCTTGTGCGGCCGCTCCGGAGAGATTCCAACGCCGCCCAGCTGAGTAGCAGCGTGCCCACAGCCAGGTGTGTGTTTCTCCTGGTGGTGCACATCTGCACATACAAATTATTCCGCACATGGATGGAACAGATGAGAGGGAACGTCGCAGGGTCCTGGCAGGCCTGGGAGTCTGTGGCTTTGAGGGCACATTAAATAAGATCCCGATCCTGGCCGCTTTGCCATTCCTGGGCTCCCCAATCGCGCCCAATGCTTCCGTGAGGCCAGGGTTTGGCCTGTGGCAAGTTGTGCTTGGATTGCGGCTCGCTGCTTTGCACTGCTCTGGCCTGGCCTGGCTCTCTCTAGGGAGCCCCCCGGCCCGCCTCATCCCTCTCCCCACGTCCCAGCGCCTCTCCGGCTCAGAGCCGAGCGGCACACGGCTGAGCGCCTGGGCTGGCTCTTGTGCCAAGGGGTGCAGATGGGCTTGGGGATGGGAGGGTCCCCCGGCTGCCTCCAGCCAGCACCCGGCTTTGGGGAGGAGAGTCTTCTGGGAAGGAGCATGAGTGAGCACGCAGGAGCATCCGCCGCCCCCGCAACCAAATTTGCCCAGAGCCACAAGCAGAGCCTGCCGTGTGACTGCTCCCCTTGGGGCCCGGGGCCCCGCCTGCCAGTCCAGCCCCTTCTCCGGAGTGTGGCCAGTAAATCAACCAGCCGCTCCCCCTTTGTCACGGCCACAGCCCCTGGGGCCCGCGGGGCCGACTCAGTCACGTCAGTTTCACCGCCAGCCACGCACAAGGGAGGGATGCGACCAGCCGCCTGCCCAGACACCTCTGGCGGCCTCGCCCAAGGGATCCGGCACACCTGGGCCGCTGGGGAAGGGAGAAGCCACCCTCTACCCCAGGGCCTTTCGGAGCGCTGTCCAGCTCATCCTTTGCCTCCTCCCTCCCCGCTGCATTCAGCTCTGGGAAGCAGGAACGGGTCCACCCAGAGAGCCACAGCCCTGGAGAGTTTGGCCTGTTGGGACCAGCCGCCCAAGTCTGGCACATCTGCTGGTGCTCAGGGCAGCCCCGAGAGGTGAAGTTTGGAGTCCGGGGCACCTCCCACTGCCCAGCAGACCCTGCCCACCGGCCTCAGCCCAGGGCACGTCAGCTCAGCCCCACGCAGCCTGGCCACCCACCAGCTCGCGTTCTGCCCCGGGAATCCTGGGCCAGGCGCCTGCCAGCCCCCCCGGCCTGTCCCCCCTCCCAATGCCCTCTGGGGTCCCCACTGCCGACCCAGGGCAACCCTCGCCGGTTCCAGGGACTCGCTGCTTGTGTCACCGTGGGCAGGATCCGCCCCAGATGTCTGGGGTTGGGTTTCCCCGGAGACTGGCGCCGTGGTGCTGGGCTCACAGCACAGGCACGGTCACCACAACAGGACTGAGGACGCCCTGTAGCCATAGGGAGGGAGGAGCCCCCCAAGTCTCTGATTTGCTCCCCTTGTCCGTTCCCAGCCAGCCGGTGCCTCTCTCCGGTCCCCCTTGTTATCTTCATTTGCTCCCCGATCCCTGCCTCTCCTCTGCCTACATCCCCTACTGCCACGCGGTCGGTGCCCTCCAGAGACACCCCTCGGCACGCTGCTGTCTGCTGGCAGCGAGCCGACTCCCACCCAACCTCGACCTTCGGGCCACGGCATTTTAGGGCTTATTACAGCCGCCTGCCTTTGGGTGGGGCCGCGGGGCCTTTCTGAGGGACCACCCAGCCGCTGCCGTGGGCCCGGGGCAACAAACTGTTGCCAATTCCTGTCCTTGTGTCCCCGCGCCCGTTGTCCCAGACATTCTGCCCCCTGGGAAGACAGTGGGGAGTATGCACTGGGGTGTGCAAGCAGGGGTTTCCGGGACTTAGGGGGTGAGGCGGAGCTAGGCTAGATTCTAGCACTTATCCTGAGGCTGCGGGTTCAAGGCTGCTGTAGACTAGAAGGGTCATTTCTCACCTGCAGGGGGGTAAATCGAAATGTCTGGGGGCTTCCTGTGGAGGTTGTTGAGCAGAATAACTTTGGCAAAACCATTTACAGGCATCACCTTTTTCCAGCCACAAGAGCGCAACCCGTTTGTCTGTGACAATTCTGGCTTTTCGACCCCGGAACAGTTTTCCCAGGAGCTGGTTGTTTCAGTCCCCCCCGCCCCCAGCCCGCCCTCGGGTCCAGCTTTTTGTCACAACGCAGAACCGTTTCCTAGGAACTATTTAACCAATCAGCGACTGGCTGGCCGCGACGGCGCGTGTCTCCCCCACCTGCTCCAGTAACGAGCAAGGCCCTGGGTTCTCTGGTGCTTTTCATATAAGGACTCTTTGGCCTAAATTCACCCCCGCTCATGCTCGTTAGCAGCTGCGTGTCTAATAAACCCCAGGAGGGTCGTTAGTGGGGTCAAGCATTTGTCTTTCCAAACCTAGAGCTAGGCATGTGATTTGGTGCTGTGCGGAATCGGGTCCTAAAAGCACAGACCCCTTCTGCTTTAACTCCCTGCGCTGCCCTGCCAAAGCTGTGTCCTGTGGGGGGGCCCTGTCTCTTACCCCCTCGCCCGTGCGTTCCACTCCACCCGCCATGGCGAAAGGAAATATTTAAAATAAATGTTTTTATAAAAAGGTTTTACTGATTTAAAAAAAAAAATCTATGAAATTATTTATTTATTGTGCATGTCACCCTCAGAGCACTTGGCAAATATTAGCTAATTAGCACCCCCGTGGGAGGGAGGGAAGCAGCTCAAGCTGGGGAAACTGAGGCACGACAGGCCTGACACCATCCCAACCTCCTAGGCATCGTTGGCGGAGCCTGGAATAATGTCTGTCCCTGGCCCAGAGCCTCCAAGGTGCAGCAAACGGTCTTCGAGGATTTGGGTCCCAGTTTTTTGCTGAGATCACTTCTCTCCATTCTTAGCAGAGCATCTGGTTTACAGTTCCCCAAATTTGACTTTTCCCAGGACTTTTTCGTTTCACTTGCAACGGCAACCACAAATTGCAACGGCATTGGCACCGTTCCCCTCCTAAGTGTTCCTACAAGCCCTGGGGACCAGTCTGCCTTTTTTCTGCCATTATTGGTTGACACAAGGCATTGCCACGGGATAAAACACCCCACACGTACGTTTTGGCCCTTTTTTTTCTTTTTCATTCCTTCCACCAGCTCTGTTTGCAATCTGCTTGTCTGAAACACCGACACCTAGAATTGGAGCCTCGTGCCTGTGTGACCCACACACGGATAGAGCGGTGCCCTGTCCCATAGCGTGGCACTTACAGCACTTTCAGAGAGAGATAGGAACAAGGCAGCTCTACAGCCTGAGCTGCGAGCCAGCTGGATTTCTAGCTCAAACTGTAGAGCAGTGTTCTCCAATTGGGATGGGTCCTGCCTTGGCCAGGGGGCTGGACTTGATGACCTCCTGAGGTCTCTGCCCGCTCTATGATGTATCAAGTGAAAGTAAGGGTTCCTTCAGAACTCAGCACGGCCCCGCCCCCTCTTAAAGAGACAGAGCCTTTTTTCAGTGGGTCTTTTTTTTTTTTTTTGCCTGACAAGATTTACCCTGGCAACCCTAGGGGTTCCTTGAAATGCTTTCAAGCTGCAAAGGGTTCTGTGGCCAAATTAAATTGGGAAACACTGCTGTTGAGGCTCCTACCCTAAACTCTGGCAGTCCCCGGTTCAAATTTGCCCTGGTTATACTTGTACACAGTTTCCTTTTCATGGTCAAGGGCATTTCATGGTTCACTCCTGAGGCGGGGAATTTCTGATCTTTTGAAGGTTGACTCAGCCACGTGCAGCAACAGCGGTGCACAGATCCTGTAAGTACCATACGACAAATTTCATATTTGCCTGGGGCTATGTCTACACTACAAAGAAAAGTCGGAAAAAAATACACAAATTGCAAACCGCTTTTCTTTCGGAGGAGGCTTTTCCAAAATTTGGCCTGTCTACACGGCGCCAAATTTTGGAAAAACCTGCTCTTTCGACACATCCCTTCTTCCTTGTACAACGAGGTTTACAGGGATGGTGAAAGAGCGCGTCCGCTTTTCCGAAATTTGTTTTGGAAAAGTGGACGCATTCCACTTGGATGCAGCATAGCTTTTCCAGGATACCTCCGGATACCCCGGAAAAGAGCTGCAGTGTAGACATAGCCTGGAGGTCCAAAACTGGGCAGAAATGAGGTAGGGTTGTATCTCTCACCCAGGGGACCTGGAAAGAAGAAACTTCTTTTATGGGCAGCTAATCCCATATCTACCTGCTGCAGGTTTCATGCACGTTTCTCGGGTGCTGGTCCCTGTCCGAGGAAGGATCCCGGGGCAGGATAGTCAGCTCCAAGCAGTCCCCTGTTCCAATCCCTGAAAAGGAGCCTGGGAAATATTGACGAGGAAGTTGCTTTGCAAAGTTTCTTGTGTCTTGTCCTAGTTCGGGGACGATTGGGCGGATCAGGTGAAAAAGCCACTGCCCTTTGGGAGAGCTGTCTTTTGTCTTTGTACAGGTAGAGGAGAAAAGGGACAACATTCATCCCCATCGGGGGCCGGTTTTCTTGCAAAAGCGCCTCCAAAGTTTTGAACGTTCAAAATGTCCCAAAAGAATTAGGGTTTGTGAGAGTTTACAATTTCTCCAGTTTTGATGCAAACGCCTCCCGCCCCCCAGCCCTTCGCAACTCTACCAAACTCTCCATCTTTTGGAGACAATGATGTAGACAGTCATACACTTGGGCTATGTCTACACTGTAGGATGTTTTGCGCAAGAACTGTTTTGCACAAGAGTTCTTGTGCAAAAGTTCTTGTGCACGAGCGTGTCCACATGGCCATGTGCTTTTGCACAAGAGCGTCCATGGCCATGTGGATGCTCTCTTGCACAAGAAAGCTCTGATGACCATTTTAGCCATAGGGGTTTCTTGTGCAAGAAATCCATGTTGCCCGTCCACACTGCCTTCTTGTGGAAGAGCTCTTGTGCAAAAAGGCTTATTCCTCATGGGGAAAGGAATAACGCTTTTGCAAGAAGCCCTCTTTTCCGACACTTTACTGTAAATTGACTTGTGCAGTGTAGACACTCTGCAAGTTTTTGCACAAGAACAAATGTTCTTGAGCAAAAATTCTGCAGTGTAGACATAGCCTAGGGGAGGAAAACCACTAAGGCCCTGGAAGAAAATGCAAATATTTTTCACAAACCTCCGGGGAGGGAGGGGGAGAGAAGAGCAGAATTCCCATTTTTACCTGGCCCCGATCCTGAGTCCTAGTTCACGCTGCTGCTTATTTATTACGACACAGAGAGATCCTTCCAAAATCACTAAAGCCCCCCTCCCCTGCCCCGAAACGATCAGACGTCCGCTTGAGCCAGCCATCGCTTCGCCATCAAATCTGAAATCAGCGACGCCCACCCGTCCGCCCAGTCTCTCTCTCACACACACAGGTCTAAGTCTTGACCGCCTGGAGATGTATCTTCACTTGTACAACTTGAAAAAAAACCAACCCGAGTACTGTATGTCAAACGTTGATGAATGACGTGGTTTCTGATGGTTAATAAAAGTGATGTCATGATGCCACCTGCCTTTTCTTCCATCGCTTTGCGAGTCTGCGTAGCGAGTGCACCCAGCACCATAGTGCCACAGGGTGAGCACGTGGGTAGCATCAGTAGCTCCCACTGGGACTGGTTTTAAGGCAAAAAGTTTGGGGAAATGTTCCCCAATGTCCCCCCTGCTCCGCATTGATAAACCAAGTCAGCAAAATACAAGCCGCTTACAAATAAAATGTCAGCCCACCACCAGGGCTCACACACAACCCTACAATAACAAAGCAATGTGTGCAGCCTGTGTTTGTGTGGGCCGACAATAGCCAAGGAGGGTGGGGGGGGGTAAAGGGGAGTCTTTAAGGCCATGTCTGGCAGAGAAACACCTCCCCCCTGTCCTGCCCAGGGAAATCAAATGAATAGTACACTTCCCTTCACAGTCACACAGTCACACACACACACACACAGATGGGCGCTCTCACAACACTTTCACATAGAAACTAAAGTTGCTACCTGGCTTGGCTGACAGGGGCTGGGTCTCTCAGTAGTAGCCCAGATCTGTTCACTCCCTCTGGGGTAGCTGGCATTGGCCACTGTTGGAAGAAAGGATGCTGGGCGTGATGGTCGATTGGATGTTCTGTACCCGCTAGTCTCCGGTGCGTTGTCTAGTCTCACATGGCCCTTGCCCCCAGGGCAGCCCGAGCACTGTGACTGTGCTGGGACCCAGTCCACAGTACATGCCGCTTGTATCTGCCCCACCGTGCCTGCCAGGGACAGGGAATCCCTGAGCCCTAAGTGACAGGACCAAGGCCACAAAGAGAGTCAGTGGCAGAGAGAGTTCACTTCTCCCTCCCAGGTC